GCAGACCAAAGCAAATATGAATTAAAAACAAGCATTGAACAAAACCAAACACACACCCACACACACAAACACACACAAACACACACACACAGATGAAGTGACCCGTGAGAATATGAGGATCTTGAAATATTTTTTCCACTGATAAACTGTAACAAAAACAACATTCAAACTGAATGTGTCATGTGGGATTATAAAACACGTGCTTTCATTGCATGTCTGGAAAATCATTTTTCAATGATTGACAGTCATAATAAAATACATTTTAATTACTCATTAAACTACTAGTTTTTAATATTTAATAATAATAATTTAATATTTAATATTTTAAAAGACCCTTCAGTATTATAGCTTTATTATTATTATTATTATTATATTAATAATAATAATAATATTTAATTAATATTTTTAAATACCTTCAGTATATTAACTTAATTACTATTGATAATAATAATAATAATAGTTGTTGTTGTTATTATTATTATTATTATTATATTTAGATTATATATAATTTATCATGCTTATTTATTTATGTATTTGTTTATTGTAGTATTTAAAGTCCCTTCAGTATTTTAAATACATAAATTCAGTATTTAAATACATATATATTTTAAATAAATACTAAATAACACAAATAATACATAACTTTATTTATTCATTATTGTAATTATTTTGATTATATTTAGCTATTTGTTTATTTTTAAGTCCCTTAATGGTTAACTAATTAAAAAATATGACTAAATATTATTTATGTATTTATTTATTTGTATGTTTGCTAGTTTGTTTATACTTATTTATTGTAGTATTTTAACTGCCTTCAGTATTTAAAATAATTTATAATAATATTAATGTCATTTATTCATTAATTTGTAATTATTTTAATTACTTATTTATTTTAGTAGTCCTTTCAGTATTTTAAATAATATCAATACATAACTTTATTTATTCATTTATTGTTATTATTCTGATTATATTTAGTTATTTATTTATTTTTTAAGTCTCTTCTGTGTGACTAATTAAAAATAATACTAAATATGATTTGTATTTATTTATTTTAGTATTTTAGGTCCCATCAGTATTTTCAATAATTTATATTAATAATGTTATTTATTCATTAATTTGTAATAATTTTAATTCATTCTTTTTAGTTATGTATTTTAAGTCCCTTCAGCATGTTAAGAATAATTTATAATAATTAAGTCCCATGAGAAAGAAAACAAAAACACACCGATAAACTGTTTTAACTCTATTCACGTACAGTGTTTATCTGGAAATATCTGGCATGCCTGTGTTTCTTTGATTGACAGCACTATGTTGCAGTAGTGACTGTAAACAGACTCACTCCAGCACTGAATGAGTAGCTGCGTGTTCATGATAGCGATAAACCAGCAAACACTCGTCCACTCGGATCGCGTGACCTCCGCGACGAAGACTCTGGTAGAAGAAGAGCAGATCCTCAGGAACGCCCTGATAGAGAATCAGTTCAGATGAAAGGCTGATCAAGAGATTCATGTGTAATTTAGCATCAGAAGAGCCTCACCTTTCCTCCCTCGTTAAACGGACCCACTTTCTCAAACCAGTCACGAGAACAGAACCAGGTGGGCATGATGACCGTCGGCCCGTGAGACGTGTACACCTGATTTAGGACAGAAATCAATGCTTTATTCATTAAAGATGCACTAAACTGATGAAAAGTGACAGTAAAGACATTTATAATGTTACAAAAGATTTCTATTTCAAATAAATGCTGTTCTTTTGAACTTCCTATTCATCTGTGAATCCTGAAAAATAAAATGCATCACAGTTGCAACAGAAATATTGGGCAGCACAACTGTTTACAACATTGATAATAATCAGAAATGTGGCTTGAGCAGCAAATCAGAATATTAGAATGATTTCTGAAGATCATGTGACTCTGAAGACTGGAGTAATGATGCTGAAAATTCAGCTTTGCATCACAGCAATGAATGTTAACAGATATTCACATAATATTTTAAATTCTATTTTTTTTTTTCAGATTTTTAATGCATTTTTGATCAAATAAATGCAGCTTTAGTGAGCAGAAGAGATTAAAAAACAAACAAACAAAAAAACACTTTCTGACCTAAATCTTCTGAACGCTAGTGTAAGCAGGCATTTAGTATCAGTTAATTTTACTATCCTCATTTAAAGGCAAAATGCTTAAAGAATCAGAGCCAATCAGATCATATTCGATGTGGAGTGTGATTTTGGACCAATACGATTTCACTATGGGCTATTTATGACAAAAACAACACATTAGTTGCTTTACTGCAAGTGACAGGATTTGTTGCATTGGTTAATGTAAACACACATGATGAAACAACAAAAAATACCATCGAAACTTATAAATGCATTTAAAAACTGAGTTTTTGTCCACCAATCAGGATGTTTGGTCTCTATTTCTCACTGATGTGTTTAGTAGCTCCGCCCACAGCAAATTCTCATTGGTCCAAAATCACTGAACATTAAACATCAAATATGTTCTGACTGTCTGTGATTGTTTTGCAGCATTACAGCTTCCAGTCTGAACAGACCAATCCTGTCACACAGCGTCTGGCAGATAATAACCATTAACGTTTTCAACACTCTCTAATCACACACACACACACCGGTCTAATGAGTTTACTTTATCCCCCACTGGGATCTGTGTGCACTTAGGGATGGGCGACATGGACTTAAAAATATATCATGATATTTTCTGCTCAGGACATTTAACACACACACACACACACACACACACACACACACACACGCACACACACACACAAAGAGAAAGAATGAAAGATGGAGTGGAGGGAGGAAAGACAGGAATATTTCAGTGATGACAAAATAGATGAAATCAGTGATGTGTTTCAGGGCAAATAAACTAACTAGAGCACTGGGATCTGTGTGCACTTAGGGATGGGCGACATGGACTTAAAAATATATCATGATATTTTCTGCTATTTATTGCAATAATGATATCAATGACAATAATTCATATGCATCCACTGAGAGACAAAAAAAAAAACCTCCTGTTTCTTTAGAGAGAAGTATTATCTTGCCTAGTTTTACCAAAAAAGCACATAGGCAATGTAGTGTCTGTTTCATTACAGAAGTAACAGAACTGATGACGTTCCAGGAAATCCCTAATATGGGTGATACCACTTATTTTGTTTTCGATACGATACTTTTGAAGGCCAGTATCATCGATACCGATACAGTACTTATCAACTGAACTTTTAAATTATGACATTTATTCACTTATTACATTACTAAGAGTAAAATGGGTAATGACACCCACTTATCTTTATATTTGAAATGCATTTTAACATTCAATACGCATTAATTGCAACATATTAGGTTATATTTTTGTTTACACATGGCTAAAATATGCTTACTGTAGTGGTAACCATGGAAATCTACAAATACTATAGTTGAACTAAAACGGTAAATAAAACGCACCTTAGTATCAATATTTTTTATTTGCGTATCGATACTTTCGATACTCACATCAGTATCGATATATCGATACTTCAGGATTGATACGTCCATCCCTAAGGGCAACCAGCTATCGCAGTAGCTGAATAAAAAGAAGATAGAAACACTTCTGTCGTTAATTACTCACCCTCATGTCGTTCCAAAACCTGTAAGACCTCCGTTCATCTTCGGAACACAAATTAAGTTATTTTTTGTTGAAATCTAAGAGCTCTCTGACCCTCCATAAAGAGCAAAGGTATTTCCAAGTTCAAGGTCCAGAAAGGTACCAAGAACATCGACAAAATAGTCCATGTGACATCAGTGGTTCAACCGTAATTTTATGAAGTTACGAGAATACTTTTTGTGCGAAAAAAAAAAAAACGACTTTATTCAACAATTCTTCTCCAAATCACGTCTTCCGCCATTATCGAGAGTACCTCTGCCTGAAAACAACGCATGCGCATGGTCCTGCTGACGTAGAACACGCATGCGCTGTGCATTGTTTAGTGCAGAGGAAAGCAATGCGCATGCGTCGTGGTACTCTCGATAATGGTGGCAGAGAGTGACTCGGGGGAGAAGAATTGTTGAATATTAATTGTTGAAGTCGTTATATTTGTTTTTTGTGCACAAAAATTATTCTTGTAGCTTCGTAAAATTACGGTTGAACCCCTGATGTCACATGGATTATTTTAATGATGTCCTTACTACGTTTCTGTGCCTTGATCGTGGTAGAACCCTTGTTGTCTATGGGAGGGGGTCAGAGAGCTCTCGGATTTCATCAAAAATATCTTAATTTGTGTCCGAAGATGAACAAAGGTCTTATGGGTTTGGAACGACATGAGGGCGAGTAATTAATGACAGAATTGTCATTTTTGGGTGAACTAACCCTTTAATGAAGGCCAAAATCACATCAATAGGTTAGAACTTTGGTTAGAACACACTAAAACCTGCTGTTCTTACTAGTCCTGTGTCAAAGGCCGTGTGTGTGAATCTGTCCGTGTTCAGACTCTGACACTGAACTGGTGCGAGTGTGTCGTAGCGGAGATGTTGCCTGCTGGACACTGTGTGTGTGTGTTTCACTGATAACCTCGTCTGGAATGTGCAAACACACCCAAGAGAAACACGACTCCCTTCTCAGTGAACAAGAACATGCGGAGGAGAAACTCACAGCAGAAAACCATCATTCAAAACAGATTTTCATTAAGGAAAAATTAGCATTTATCCATTTAAACATGCTGCCATGGTGTGCGCCAGGTTGCTAGGGTGTTGCTATGCAGTTGCTAAGGTGTTCTGAGTGTGTTAGTTTTGTTATTACTATGGTTTTCAGAATGGTTGCTTGTTGCTGCATGCAATCCCTAAGGTGTTGCTAAGATGTTCTGAGTGGTTGCTATGCAGTTGCTAAGGTTTTGGCAGTTGCTAGGGCGCTGTGAGCAGGGTATTGCTAGGATATTCTGCGTGGTTCTTAGACAGTTAAGAGGGTGTTTTGGATGGTTGCTGGGGCTTTGTTAGGTTGTTTTTAATGTTGTTAAAGGGGTCATATGATGCTGCTAAAAAGAACATTATTTTGTGTATTTGGTGTAATGAAATGTGTTTATGCGGTTTAAAGTAAAAAAAACACATTATTTTCCACATACTGTACATTATTGTTTCTCCTCTATGCCCCGCCTTTTTGAAACGCGTCGATTTTTACAAAGCTCATCGGTCTGAAAAAGCGAGGTGTGCTGTGATTGGCCAGCTATCCAGTGCGTTGTGATTGGCCGAATACCTCAAGCGTGTGACGGAAATGTTACGCCCCTCACAATACTGTTGATGCCGTGTCCCGGCCGGAGCGACGAGACAAAAACATTAAAACCCATTACAAACGAGGCATTTGTTGCATCCAGTGGGGACATAATTACTGATTATAATGACTTATACTGTCTTTTTACGCGTTGTGTTGCATTGCATCGCGCCGCGTAAACATAAAACCCTGTCTGCATTTGTGATCAGAGAAATGACAAACAACAAGTGCTACTCTACACTGCCCAAAACTCGCGTTAGAATCATCAGTGGCAAATCCTTTAAATTAAAGCGTACTTACGTGAGTCAGAACTGCCGGCATTTTTGTCTAACGGTACTCTCCCAGGATCAGTAAACAGTCCTCCATAACACGCCAAAGAGAAAGGAAAAATTGAAATCGCATCATATGACCCCTTTAAGGTGTTCTTAGCATGTTACTATGGTTACTATTGTTTTCCATGGTTTCTATGGTGCTGTGAGGAGTCACATTACTAGGATGTTTTGAGTGGTTGCCATGCAGCTGCTAGGGCATCGCAGAGTGGCATCACGGTGTTCTGGTTGTGTGTGGTGGTTGCTTGAGTGTTGCAAAGGTGTTATAAAGTTACAGTGTTTTTCACAGTGGTTGCTATGGTGCTGTTAGTAGTCCCTACGATGTTGCTAGGAAGTTCTGGGTGGTTGCTAGGCAGCTGCTATGACATTTCTATAGATGTATGCCAGGTTGGTAGGCCATTTCTATGCAATTCCATGTAGGTTGTTATGGTACTGCTAGGTAGTTGCTAGGGTGCTGGGAGCAGTCCTTATGGCATTGCTAGGATGTTGTAATTGGTTGCTAGGGTGCAGTATTATTAGGTGGTTACTATAGTATTCAGGATAGAGCATTGTTAGGATGTTCTGAGTGGTTGCTAAGAGCTTGATACAACATTGCAGGGCAGTGCTCTGGTGTTCTCAGTGGTTGTCAGGCTGTTGTTATGCATTTGCTAAGGTGTTTTGAGTGTTTGTTAGCATATTACAAGGTGTTTAATAAGGTTAGTGTTCTAAATGGTTGCTAGGCAGTTGCTAGGGCATTGCCAGGCAGTGCTGCAGTA